AGTCGAGGATCTGTGCACATGTTCAGTATCCCACCGCTCAACCTCCGCGTGGAGGTCACGTACACGGCCGACGAAGGGCGAGATGAGCGTGACGCCCGCCTCGGCGCACGCAACGGCTTGGCCGAAGCCGAAGAGGAGCGTGAGGTTGCAGTGGATGCCGTCGTCGCGCTCCAGCTCGCGCGCAGCCTGGATACCCTCCCAGGTGGACGCGATCTTGATGAGGATGCGCTCCTTCTTGATACCGAGCGACTCGTAGAGGGCAATGAGCTCCTTCGCCTTCGCCTTGGTCGCCTCCTTGTCGAAGGACAGGCGGGCGTCGACCTCGGTGGAGACACGGCCGGGGATGATCTTCAGGATCTCCTTGCCGAACTCGACAAGCTGGAAGTCGTGGTCAGTTAAGAGAGAACGCAAATCAAGCATGCTCGAGCACTTACGAGACGGTCCATGGCCGCATTGGTCTGGGTCTCGATGTCACCGCCCTTGGCCTTACCGGCCTCGATGGCAGCATCGATCAGGCGCTGGTAAGCGGGCTTGTTCGCAGCGGCGAGGATGAGCGACGGGTTGGTCGTCGCGTCCTGGGGTTTGTAGACATCGATAGCTAACGACGAGCAGCAGCATCAGTCCGCGCAATCTAAGCGAGCAGACGCGCCAATCGCACTCACACTCGAAGTCACCGGAGTCGGAGACGACGACGGTGCCGGTCTGTTTGAGTGCGTCGAGTGCGGTGGTCATGGTGGTGGTGGTGGTGGTGGTGGTTGCTGTCGAAATGAACGGAGGCCGCCTGCGGTAAAGTAGATTGGGCCCGCGGCTGAGTGAGCTTGGGGTGTGATCTCATCGTGGGCGTCCTCAAGCAGAGCGAAGGAGAGGGCATGGTATCTTGAGCGCAGCTGCAAGGAGCGGGTGCATGCGTTCGCGTCGGTCGCGGAGGCGCCCCGTGCAGTATGACGACACGCGCCAAACCTTGACTGACAGGCGGTCGCTGCTGCTCTCCGTTTCTCCTCGCCAGGTCTCTGTCGATAGTCGAACCGCGGCCTTCGTTGCAGCAAGCCACGCCCCGCGCGACGTCTTTCGTGCGCCCACGATCCGGTCTCTCTCGTCCTTCCGCCTGCATCGCCCATTGCTCCTCCATACCAGCTCCCCG